ACTCTGTGTCAAGAAACTGCTCTCCTTTAAGAGAGTTTTTCTGCCTAAATGTTAGCTTTTTTGACTATTTGAAGTCATCACCCCCACCCGCCAGCTTCTTAACAGAACTGTTGCTTAGGCTGGCAGAAGTGATTAACTTGCAGCAGCTGAAAACTGTCATCTAAAGTAGTTGACAACTTGCAATTTAGAGATCTATCCTGGTAACGGCTTTCTTTTGACTAAATGGTTAATAGGCTAAGGGTAATTGCGAGCATCAGAACACCTTTGTAGAACAGACAGCTTGGGAAGACTCAGAGAGAGAAGAGCAGCTGAGTCATAATCCTCAGAATTCTGGCTTTTCTTTCTGCACTGAGAACTTCATCCCCACAAGCCACAAAATCCTGGCTACGGGCCTGCTTGGTCCTACTTGCATGTGTTACTGACCAGCAACAAGTGTTCTAATGTGTCAGTGTCTGATTGAGACCATATGTTCAATCAGCCCTGTTTCTTGCTTTTCCCATGATTATAGTCATTGGTCGGAAAGTGAACCTGGCTGCCCGAATGATGATGTGCCATCCGGGATTCGTGACCTGTGATGAAGTCATCTACTTGGAATCCAAGTTGCCATACTATTTCTTTCAAGAGCTCCCAGTAACTGAGATGAAAGGCATTCGGAACCCTGGGACAATCTATAAATATCTTGTCACTGAGAGAACGTAAGTGCCGCCTCCCTATATTGCTGGGCAAGGGTGTTGGAAAATTTGGTAAAAATAGTTAGATATTCTGCGTTTGCAATGGATCTTTGTTCACTGAAGAGGAGGCATTTTCTTTCTATGCAAAATCTTTATTTCTAAAGGGAAAGGTACACAGGAAATCTACAAAACAACAAACACTAAATAGACTATGTTATGTACTGAGCTCGCGTTTCACCTGAGCACAGACTTAGCTTCGTTTACAGAACAATAGGAGACCAGGATCCTGGAAGGAACCTATTGTACAGGCGTTCTTATGTAAATAACCAATCACAGGGAGAGTGTGTGTGTTGGGTGTGGTGTTGAGCACGCATTTAAGCAGGGCTTTGGTCCTGCTTGGGTTGTCTTTAGTCTGAGCTAAAATCACAATAAACCATGAGCTGATGACTCCACGCGTCTGAGCCCAGTACATTTCAGACTACATCCTTACTGTAACAAGCACAAACAACAGACCAGTTGGTAAGTTTGGTAATGGAGATTGTTATTTCTTCTTGACCCCTAGAAGGAAATCACCTGAATGCATTAACCAATGATTGTGAGTAAATAGACTTCAGTTTCCCAGGCTTTCTCTCCTTTGGCTTTCTGCCAGGTTCCCTTCCAGGTCAGTCTAAACAATAGCACACATTAAATCCTATAATGACTTAATTTAGACCTTGCAAAACACATATTTCCAACAAAGGGAAGGTGTTTGGGCAGGACAGATGTTCCTCTGGTTGACCCAGGCTCCACTGAGGGGGCGTCCTTTAGAGTAACGGAGCTCAAACTGGGTGGAAAGAACTTCACCCCTAACAGACTGCACTCCTTATATTCCATTCCGAAAAGAAGACCCATTTTATTGCTTGTTCCTGATGTTCTTTTTTTAATATCAAAGCGGAATAAATGAGCATGGGAGGAAATCAAAAGAACTAGCACAGTTTCTCATCCTGCGAAGAACCAGACTGGGCTAAAATTAGGGTTGCCAGCCCCAGGTTGGAGATCGTGGGGGTGGAGCCTGAGAAGGGGAGAGACTTAAGTGGGGTAGAATGCCATAGAGTCCACCATCCAAAGCGGCCATTTTCTCCAGGCTGAACTGCTCCCTGTCTCCTGGAGGTCAGTTGTAATCCCAGGAGATCTCCAGCCACCACCTGGAGGCTGGCAACCCTAGCCAAAACAGAAAGAGAGAATGATTCTTCTTGTTCTGTAGTTCTTGTGGCCAAACAAACTTAGAGAAGGCTGGGGAGGCAGGGAGAGTAGGGATTTTTTTCCCCCTGAGTGATTTCTCCAACTTTACTGGCTCCAAATAAAGGAAGGAAGGAAGGAAGGAAAGAAAGAAAGAAAGAGAGAGAGAGAGAGAGAGAGAGAGAGAGAGAGAGAGAGAGAGAGAGAGAGAGAGAGAGAGAGAGAGAGAGAGAGAGAGAGAGAGAGAGAGAGAGAGAGAGAGAGAGAGAGAGAGAGAGAGAGAGAGAGAGAGAGAGAGAGAGAGAGAGAGAGAGAGAGAGAGAGAGAGAGAGAGAGAGAGAGAGAGAGAGAGAGAGAGAGAGAGAGAGAGAGAGAGAGAGAGAGAGAGAGAGAGAGAGAGAGAGAGAGAGAGAGAGAGAGAGAGAGAGAGAGAGAGAGAGAGAGAGAGAGAGAGAGAGAGAGAGAGAGAGAGAGAGAGAGAGAGAGAGAGAGAGAGAGAGAGAGAGAGAGAGAGAGAGAGAGAGAGAGAGAGAGAGAGAGAGAGAGAGAGAGAGAGAGAGAGAGAGAGAGAGAGAGAGAGAGAGAGAGAGAGAGAGAGAGAGAGAGAGAGAGAGAGAGAGAGAGAGAGAGAGAGAGAGAGAGAGAGAGAGAGAGAGAGAGAGAGAGAGAGAGAGAGAGAGAGAGAGAGAGAGAGAGAGAGAGAGAGAGAGAGAGAGAGAGAGAGAGAGAGAGAGAGAGAGAGAGAGAGAGAGAGAGAGAGAGAGAGAGAGAGAGAGAGAGAGAGAGAGAGAGAGAGAGAGAGAGAGAGAGAGAGAGAGAGAGAGAGAGAGAGAGAGAGAGAGAGAGAGAGAGAGAGAGAGAGAGAGAGAGAGAGAGAGAGAGAGAGAGAGAGAGAGAGAAAGAAAGAAAGAAAGAAAGAAAATTGGGGGGAAATTGAAAGGAAGGCAGTCTTTTCCTTTTCAGAATAAGTGAAAGACTTTTAAAAAACAGTGCTTTACAACATAGACTGTATTGTTATAGCCTGTCATCCTGAAGGGGTGCTTGTTTGTTTTTTTACTTACTAAACAAGCACCGCTTCTAATGGAAGAATCTTTTCAAAAGGTGAATATAGAAAGCGCCTACAGGAATGGAGGGATCTGCCAAGGTGGTTGCTTCTGCCACTTGATGTCATGGGCAGAGCTTTAGAACAACACAGGCCACAGTCACATGGGCCGGATATCGCGGGGGGGAGGCATGGCTGTTTGCCCCGCAGCGAAATAACGTGCGACTGCGTGAATCAGGCGTCCCCTCGCAGTCCCGTCGAGGTCCCGTGGTTAGGGGGGAGGTGCCGATCACACGACGCGCCAAAGAAGCGGCGTGGCACGGCAAACGGGGTTGTGTTGGGTTTTTTGTAACCTGAAGTATGCGCATGCCCCGTTGGGTGCTTATGCGCATCCCTGGAGACGTCGAAAAAACCCAACCTTTTTACTCCTCTTGCTTCCGACTTCTCTTGCCTTCCTCTCTCTCCTGCATCTAGAGAAATAAATTGATTTGTGTTGGAAAACGCACACCTAGTCTTAAGGGAGAAACCACCATGTGAAAGAATTGCAGCTTAGTGTAGTGGTTAAGTCGTGGACTCTAATCTGGGAGGGCTGGGTTTGATTCCCCACTCCTCCACTTGCCGCTGCTGGATGACCTTGGGCAAGCCATAGTTCTGTCAGAGCTATCCTTGAAAGGGCAGTTTCTGTCAGAGCTCTCCCAGCCTCACTTACCTCACAGGGTGTCTGCTGTGGGGAGGGGAAGGGAAAGGAGTTTGTAAGCCACTCTAAGACTCCGAGAGAAGGGCGGGGTATAAATCCAATCTCCTCCTCCTCCTCCTCTTTTTCTTCTAACTGTCCCTTTACTAAAGTCCATAAATCTGAAGCCGTGGGTGTTTCAGAAGCTGCTTAGGAAAATAAACTTGAATTGTGCTAGTATTTTCAAGGACGCATGGAGTAGAATATAAATAAATATAGGCTGGGGAGGGCTAATTTTCCCTACAGCTATGCCCCTGGAGGCAGGGGTAGATGGGCTGTTAAGGCCACCAAGAACAACCGCCCACAAGAGATAACATCAAGATCAGTGAGCAAGACAGGGAGGTCCAAAAACAGTGGCAAAGGGAGGAGGAGGCATCCAGCTGTGGCGACAAGGAGACTGGTAGCAGGGAGAACAGAATTCCAGGGCACCTGAGGCACAGTTTAGAGACAGAGACTGGCAGGAGTTGTGTTGCTGAGCTCATTGGACAGAAACAGGCTGGCCAAGATCAGGTCCTTGGGGGCCGATCGCTGTGGGAGACCTTGGCTAGCCTCAGCCTGGGGTGTGGTCCCAAGTCGAAGTGAGTGTATAAAGCAAAAGAGGTCAAGAAAGGGCACAGAGGAGGGAAAGGAGAAAGATGAAGGTGGGGTCAGGGCCTGCTGGTTCCCTGGACCCAGGGGAGAAGAGGGCAAAATAGTGAGACAGACAGGAAGAGACCAACCCCAAGTCCTGGCAACAGTCCCTGGCCTGGCTGAGCTAAGAACAAGGCTGTTTCCGACAGCCTCTACTTGAGGGCATTTGTTTCTTAAAGCTACAGGCAATGCTTCCTTTATTTGGGGCAGTTTTAAACCCCCAATGTTTCCCCCAGATTTCATATTTTTCTGAAATCCTGGGTCATTGTTCAGGTTGTAGAAAGATCTCTTTTGTCTGTTCACAGCTCCCATCTCTGGATTTAAGTATCCACAGATACTTAAATTCAGAGAGTACCAGATCTGGCCATGTTGAGAATTAGATGTATCGATTGTTGTACTTAGTAAAGAGAGGAAAGTAAAGTAAAGTAAAGTAAAGTAAAGGAGCTGCGGTGGCTCAAGTGGTTAAGACGCTGAACTGCAGGCTGTGGAAGGTCAGTAGTTCAGCAGTTCGAGACCCGAGTGTGCCGCATGATGGAGTGAGCTCCCGTCTCTAGTTCCAGCTCCTGCCAACCTAGCCGTTCGAAAGCAAGAAATTGCAAGTAGATAAATAGGTACCCCTTCGGTGGGAAGGTAACTGCGTTTCGTGCGCCTTGGTGTTTAGTCATGCCGGCCACATGACCACGTAAACGTCTTCGGACAGCGCTGGCTCTTCGGCTTGGAAACGGAGATGAGCACTGCAACCCTAGAGTCGGATTCGACTGGCTTTCGAGCAAGGGAACCTTTACCTTTACTAAAGAGAGGAAGCTGAAGACAGAGGGGAGCAGATAAAGGTGGTTTGGCTGTTAGGTGGGAAGGAGAGAAGGAAACAAGTAAAGCGGAGACAGCTATGAGGGCTTTGGGGAAGGAGGGAACAGTGGGGTAGAGGAAAATGAGATGCCCCCCCTTCTAGTTCTTGTAGGTTCCTCACTTATGAGATACTAACCTCCAAATGTATTGTCTCTACTTAATTACTTTGTAAAAATATTCATTTTCTGAACTTGCTTTTATTTGTTTTATTTACAATGTTTATACTCTACCGTACCTCTGCAAACTCATCATAGCTAACAGAGTAGCAAAAATTGAATTTCCTTTAAAAAAAAAAAAGGAGTTTATTCTGCATTTGAACAACAATGCTCAGGTCTATATACTGTTTTTAAGCCCAGGTGATGTTGCTTACTACTGTGGTTTGCTACTACCGGAACATTATTGACTCCAACACTGATGGTTTTGATTTTCAACGTTCATGTTTATTTTTTTAAATTTAACATTCCAGCAAATAATGTAGACTTGTTCTGAAGTATCTCAGGCAGCCTCAGCTATTGCTGTCCCCAAAATTCCTTGGGAGAGGCTCTGCCCAGTTCGAAGACGCTCTACTCATTCCGCTTTCTTCCTCTTCAGAAAGGATTTTATTCTGCCCTTGGATATTTGATCCAGTTGGTCAGCTGTGTTGGTCGTAAAGGTGCCACTGGACTCTAAATTTGTTCTCTTGGATGAGCCCTCTTAATTACACCTATAATAAGGTCATTCAGGCACCAAGGACAATTAAGTAATCCACTCCGAGGAACTTTTGCTGAAACATCTATTGGAGGACAAATCCACTGTAATATCACGGAATGTTGCTAAATTTCTCTTTATTGCATTTACAAAGCGTAAGCACCTCCTCTATGTTCCTCATGATGTCTCTTCTCTGCAATGCTTTTTTCTTTTGATTCTGTATGCTGTTTAATGGGTCTCTGACCGTAATAAAATGATGATGATGATGGTTCTCTTGGATATCTGAACATTCTCCAGTGTTTGCTGCAAGGCATAGCCCATGAGACTTAAACATAAACTAACACTCTCTTTTCTTGCTCTCTCTTTTTAGAATGATTGGCAAGGCATATCTGACCAAGCAGAGATATGAAGAGTATCCTTTACTAGGTAGGCAGATTTCTCTAACATCCTGTGATGATAAGAGAGAGAAAGCAAGAAAGCTGTGGGGATATATGGGACCTCGATGGCCCAGGCTGGCTTGATCCCCAAGCTAAGCAGGGCCAACCCTGGTAAGAACTTGGATGGGAGACCACCAAGGAAGCCCAGGGCAGGCCCTGGCAAACCATCTTTGCCTTGAAAACCTTACCGGGTCACCATAAGTCAGCTGAAACTCGACAGCACCATTCAGCACCATATGAGAAATGTGAGCAAGGTTTATTTCTGACTGCCTTCTCTTGCCCACTGTTACTCTACTTCACAGAGAGCGACATTTGCAGTTGCCACCAATGAGAAGAGCCGCATTTACTTCCCTGGCCTCTACCTTCACTGGAAGCTGTTTCCAGGGGGGAAACCACTTGCCAACCAGAAGCCGCCCCTCAGGCAAAGGCCTTGCTCACTTTCCTGAAACATGGGGCAGGCGCCACACTGAGGAACAGCGTTCAAAAGTCTCACCAGTAGCATGTCAGAGAGTCGCGTGTGGCTCTTATTGAAACTTTGCCTCCTTTTGTATTTAGTCGTTATTCGTATTTGCTGATAGGAGCTAAATTTGTACTGCCTTTATTGAGCAGGTTTCCTCACTGTTCACATGATTATTATCTGTTCTGTCTTGTGCCTGGTAATGATAGACGTGTTACTTTGTCTGTGGTAAGGTTTATATTTTATGCCCTTAGAGTTAGATGGGCACAAGTGGGGGCCTGCGAAACTCACAGGGGGGGAAACCATCCCCCCCATTGCTGAACCTTCATGAGCCTCACCAACCACCTTGGAGCCTGGCAGCGGCAGTGTCTGGGACCCACTCCGAGCCTGGAGCTTCTCTCAGTGCCTGCCATGATGAGCCTAGAGCAACTCCCAGGGTCCCCCACCACCACAGCAAGGCCCAGAGCGGCCCTGTGACAAGGCCTGGAGTGGCTCCCAGCGTCCACCACCACCGCAGCTAAGGTTGCAAACCCCACAATGGGGAAGGGGTTTCCCCTGCTTTCCGGGGGCCCAATCTACCACCAGCCCGCTGGACAGTGGGGGACCCCCCCCAAAGAGCCCTGACATGCCCAGCATGATGACATCACCCAGCGGTGATGTCATAGCACCGGGCAAATCATGTGGGGGTACGCTCTAGCATTTGGGTAAAAACTCTATGGTGACCATAGAGAGGGGGTTTTTTTACCCAAATGCTAGAGTGTCCCCTGCACGATGTGCCCAGTGCGATGATGTCACTTCCAGGTGATGTCATTGTGGTGCACGCACTTTGTGTGTGCAGCAGAAGACTTCAGGAGCTGGGCTGGAGCCCCTTCCAGGACCTGGGTAAGACCCGGCAATCCTAACCGCAGCAGGGACCAGAGCAGCTCCCCCGGTAAGAAAGAAAGAGCTTTACTTTCCAGGAGATTTAAACTCCTTCATGTATTTTTTTAAATTTTCAGATTTTTCTGCAAACCTGGGGAGTACCCCAATTTTGTTGAGAAACCTGTTTAGTCTCCATGTGGACCCCATCCATGGATTTAGCTATCTGCAGATGGGAACCACGGGTAGCTAATAGTATAAAGATAAGTTAAAAATATCTCTGGCAGAAAAATTCTCTTAAAGGAGACCAGTTTCTTGACACAGAGTTGGAAGGTATCCTAGAGGTCACCTACTCCAACCCCCTTGCTCAGTGCTGGAAGTAGTCAACTACAGCACTCCACTGTGCTTAAAGGAGTGCATGTCTTTAAGAAAATGTTTTAAAATGATTGAAAAAAGCATTTACAGGTGAAATTCTTGTGGGGCTGTGTCTTTAAGAAAGGGGGCAGAGCCCCCCAAAAAACCACTGTAGCTACGGGCCTGGAGATCACTTCTGAGGCCCATGTGGTATTAGGAGGAGCTTTGGAATGGGGAGGGGTTCAGCAAATGTTACCTATGTTGCTGTTTTAAACATATCTCACTTGCTTTACTGTTTTTCCCCAGGTAGGAAAAGAGAAACAGATCTCTTTGAAACCATACTGGAAAACTTCAAAGTCTCCAAGAAAAGCCATATCATCTTGTATGAAGGCCTCTTTGGATACGGGAAAAGCCAGTTAATGGCTGAAATTGCCTACATAGGGCAAATCAATGGCCACAAGTTAGTGCGTTTATCCTCACATTGATACATATTCCAAACCACCTTGAAAACCCACATTCTGTTCCTCAAACCACCGATCACTCCCTAGGCTGGACTCAGTTCTGGTCTAAGGGAATAGATCGTAGCAGTGCAGTATTTCCTCATCACGTTCCTGAGCCAAGCATTTCGGTTCAGAGCAAACATGCATCGCACCTCTAGGCTTACCTATGAACTTGAAAAGATAAGTGGTTGTGTAACTTAGCTGCATTTTCTCCTCCGAAACTATTAACTATTCCCAAGGCAAGGGAATTATTCTCTACCTCCTAGCACTTGCAGGCTGGCTGCCTCACAAATGAACACATGAAGCTGCCTTATACTGAATCAGACTCTTGGTCCATCAAAGTCAGCATCGTCTACTCAGACTGGTAGTGGGTCTCCAGGGTCTCAGGTGGAGGTCTTTCCCATTACCTACTGCCAGATCTTTTAACTGGAGATACTGGGGATCGAACCTGGGACCTTCTGCATGGCCAAGCAGATGATCTGCCACTGAGCCATGGTTAGGGTTGCCAAGTCTTACCTTTAGCTGGAGCGGGGGACTCCCGGCTGTTTCCCGGAGTGTGTGCGTGTGCGCCGCAACCACGTCACCCAGAAGTGACGTGATCACGCTGGGCACGCTGGGGGCGGGGCCACGACCATCCGAGGGAAAACCATAGAGTTTTCCCTCGGATGACAGTGGCCCTGCCCCTAGTGGGCCCGGCGTGGTCGCGTCACTTCCGGGTGACATGCACGTCATGTACTTTGGGGGTGGGTTTCCCCCCGGGGCCCGATCCGCCAGCGGCGGGGAATGGGCCTCTGGGGTGGGGGTTTCCACGCCCCCCAGGGGGACTTGGCAAGCCTAGCCACGATGCCCTTACAGAGGGTGGATAGCATGGAGCCATCCATACCTTCATGGGGAGGCCACTGAAAAAGACCATGCCCGTGCTGTGCTGGAATGGGCAACCTGAACGCATGACCAAGAAGCAGCCCTGTAGGGTTGGCAACAGTGGGTTGGGAAATTCCTGGAGATTTGAGGGCGGGACCTTGATAGGGGTATAATGCTGTAGAGTTAGGGATGCCGGCCTCCAGGTGGGGCCTGGGAATCTCCCGGAATTATAGTTCATCTCCAGACTGCAGAGATCAATTCCCCTGGAGGAAAGGGATGCTTTGGAGGGTGGACTCCATGGCACTGTACCCCACTGAGCTCCCTGCCCTCCCCAGGCTCCATCCCCACATCCCCAGGAACTTCCCAATCCAATCTGGAGCTGGCAACCCTACCAGTGTTTCCCCTCCAAAACAGCCATTTTTCTTCAGGGGAACTGATGTCCGTAGTCTGGAGACCAGCTGCCATTCCAAGAACCCATCCCACCTGGAACTTGGCAACCCTACAGCCCTGGGATGATCAGAGGTGGTGAATGTGTTCATAAAAATTTGGATAGAAAAGCAGCACTCCGTCCAGACAAGGCAGCTTGGTAGATGTATTTTTGATAGATGGGGGGGACATCACTTTTTATAGATGCACACAGTACACAAATCTCAGGCACACGTTCAATGAGAGTCTCTGGTGCCTGATGCTATCAATCAGCCAACTAGCATTGCCCCTGGCTGCTCAGTGGAGCAGTGGGAACAAAATGGGAGGATGGTGTCACACAGCTCTCTAGGAGTTTGCCAGATCTCTATGGTTAAAAAGCATTGGTCTCAAGTGGCAGTCTAGGAATTCCATACATCTCTATGGTTAAAAACGGAATTCCTAGACTGCCACTTGAGACCAATGCTCCCTCTAAGCTGTGGAGTCTTGTGAGCAAAAATTCTACTTTGTGAGCTACTGGCATGAAAGCTGCGAGCGAGCGATTCAGCTACTGCATACATTAGTTTGCTCTGGAGCCATCCTTCTTGAGCTAAGACAAAAATGTGTGAGCCGGAGGCTAAATATCTGTGAGCTAGCTCACACTGACTCAGCTTAGAGGGAACACTGCTTGAGACTGATTTCTACACTCTCTTCCTCCACCCATAGTCCTGTAGATGGCCAGTCAAGTGCTGGCCAACCCTACAGCCAACTTCTTAATCTTAGGTTTCATTCCTGTTTGCCGCGTGATACTTTTTTTAAAAAGAATCCGGGAGAGAACCATAAACTCTCCATTTTGAATCTAGTATATGTTCAGCATTAATATCTTAGTTTATCCAGTTAGAACCAGGCCCAGTAGCATCTTAGAGACCAACAAGGTTTTCAGGGTATAAGCTTCCAAGAGCCAAAGCCCCCTTCCTTTGTTTATCGAGGTTGCAGTGTGATCATCCCCTGCTTTGTTATGGTCCCCTCAGTGAAGATGGTTCACATTTTTCCTGTATTCTCGCAGGGTCGTGGCTATGGAGTTAGGGAAGATAAATGGGTCGCAGAGCTTCTTCACCATCCGGACGCTCATGGCTATATTCCTGGGGATCGACACCTGTAAAACCTACGATGCCAGACAGCGCATTCTTCTGAACAAACTCCGAGGGGTAGTAGAAGACGCCTATTTTTGCCTTCTCAACAAGCTCTTTCACGTTAAGGTAAAGTTGTAAGTGCGCAGTCATTGTGGAAGAGAAGACCCGGGCATCATAGCCAGGGAATGTTGATCCCTAGGTGGAGTGGCAGAAAAGTGACTCCCAGCCTTTTGCGTGGAATGCCTAATCATGTCACTGGCCCCCAAGATGATTATTTATTTATTTATTTACAAATTAAATTTATAGCCCGCCCTCCCCACAAACGCGGGCTCAGGGCGACTCACAAATAGGCATAAGCCAACACATAAAACACGTTAAAACCATATAAAATCATTACTACAATATTACAATATAATAAGTGCTCTAGATGTTCCAGAAATATAAATAAATAAATAAGGTTGGGGACCCCTGGGTCTACACTGGTGGCTGTAACTGCCAAAACTGTATGTTGTTTTCACACAAGTACCTTGCGATCAGTGTTCCCTCTAAGCTGAGTCAGTGTGAGCTAGCTCACAGTTTTTTAGCCACCGGCTCACACATTTTTGCCTTCGCTCAGGGAGGATGGCTCCAGAGCAAACTAATTTATGCAGGAGCCCAATCGCTTGCTCACAACTTTAATGCCAGTAGCTCACAAAGTGGAATTTTTGCTCACAAGACTCCACAGCTTAGAGGGAACATTGCTTGCGATACTAAGTAACCTTCACCCAGCTGCATTTCAGACACATAAATGAAGCAGGCACTGCATGCTAAGGTGCACTGATAGTGGAACACAAGAACATGACAACAAACATTTAACACCAGAGAAATATGGCCCATTGTTAATTAGCAAGCTGTTCATCCACAGCACAGAGCTTGGAAAGTGGGCTGTGGAACATAATGGGCTGAATGACACCACCATGCTCGTTACAGCTACCCACAGTCTGGCAGGTGTAGTGGTGGACCCAAAGGTGGTCATTTTCAAACTTTCTGGAGTGGGACAATGTCCCCTACGTTTCGGGACTCACTTCTAAATTTACTGTAATGGGAGGAATACTTGGAACTCCACCACAGCTTTTTCACTTCTCAATATAAAAGGGCAGGGATCTCGCAACATTTAATAGGGACTACGTTTCTGTTTGCATATAGCGTTGCTGAGTGACAGGCTGCCTTCCGTGGCCATTTTGCACATGACGCAAAGGCAAACCCAGATTTGCCATCCAGCCTCCCTGAGCCTCCTCTCCCAGCTCACCCATCTCCTCCATCCTGGCCTCGCACAACACACCTTGCGGGAGAAGCAAAGCCCACGTTGGGGGCCCCAGCCCACAGTTTTGAGAACCATTCGGCTAGAGTGATTCAAATGTGGAATTCGCTGCCAGAGGAGGTAGTGAAGGCCACCGGAATAAACAGCTTTAAAGGGGGATTAGGAAGACCCTGATGCTGGGAAAGATTTAAGGTAAAAGAAGAAGGGGACGGCAAAGGATGAGATGGTTGGACAGTGTTACTGATGCAACGAATATGAAATTAAGCAAACTCCAGAAGATGGCGGAAGGCAGGAGGGCCTGGCACAATGTGGTCCATGGAGTCGCCAAGAGTTGGACTCGACTGCACAACTGAACAACAACAACAACAAGATAGATTCATGGAGGATAAGTCTATCAGTGGCTACTAGCCATGGTGACTGAGGTGAACTTCCATATTCAGAGGCAAGTAAAGGTAAAGGTTTCCCTTGCTTGAAAGCGAGTCAAATCCAACTCTAGGGTGCGGTGCTTATCTCCGTTTCCAAGCCAAAGAGCCAGTGCTGTCTGAAGACATTTCCATGGTCATGTGGCCGGCATGACTAAATGCCGAGGTGCACGGAACGCTGTTACCTTCCCACCAAAGCAGTACCTATTTACCTTGCAATTTCTTGCTTTTGAACTGCTGGGTTGGCAGGAGCTGGGACCAGAGACGGGAGCTCACTCCATCATGCGGCACTCGGGTCTCGAACTGCTGAGCCGCCAACCTTCTGGTCTGCAGTTCAACGTCTTAACCACTTATCTTCTAAATCCCAGAGCCAGGAGGCAGCATCAGGGGAAGGCCTCAGCCTCTATGCCCTGTTGTTGGCTGTCCAGAGGAACTGGTTGGCCACTGTGTGAGACAGGACGCTGGACTAGATGGACCTCTGGTCTGCCCCAGCAGGGCTCTTCTTGTATTCTTCTTAGAGTGTTGGACCAATGGCTGTGGATGCGTCACACCAAGAAGAACTGAAAAAGGTCATACCAGCAAAAGTGCTAGAAATAACATGCACCAAACTTAAGGGTGCAGCGGGCAGGAATGTGTTGGCTGAGCACAACTACAGCGAGCGATGTGGCGAATGTTGAGAATGATCAGTGTAAAAAAAAAGAAGAAGAACCCAAAAGCATCATCCTGTTTCTGGCTAGATGCAGACCCCCTTCCGACAGTGGCCCTGCTCCAAATGGGCTTGCCCCATCCGTGCTACAAGCCAGCCTTTCTTGACAGTTCCTTCTAAGTGGCGCAGGGGATTTTTCCCCAGTTTAACTATAACATCTGAACTGCCAAAGCAACCAAGCCTTGTCCTAGCTCATCGTCTACTCAGCGTTTCGAAAGCTTCGGCAAGTAGATAAATTGGGGACCACCTGTAAGGGGGTGGGCACACCACTCCCTCTGGGAAGGTGTAGCTGCCGAGTGCGACTTCTGAAGGCGCGGCGAGATCGAAAGAGGAAAGAGCTGTTTCAGCTTCCCTGCAGTGGAGCGAGTCGGCCAGGCGGTGGCAGTGTGGCAGCATGACATCAAGAAGCCCTGACGTCATCAGCCAGCCGACAAGAATACACGGAACACGACTGATCCAGCCCGCAGATTAAGCCCCGGCTAGCTGCAATGTGTGTGTAATTAAAAATGCTGTATGCTTGTCTTCCCTATCCCCCACGAATATTGTTAGTCCAATTGTCAAAGAGTAACTGTAAATCGCTCTGAGCCCGCAGGTGTGTGGGAAAGAGCGATCAATAAATCTAAAGTATTATTATTGTTGTTGTTGTTGTTGAGTGTAGAGGAAGGGGTGGGGGGATAACCAGTGGCAGGGAGGATTCACTCGATACAACTACTATGCTATTGAGTCTTGACATTATTTGTTTATTTATTTTATTAGATTTCTATCCCGCCCTCCCCGCGAACAGGCTCAGGGTGGCTTACATTTAGCGGCACTATGTGCCGAGATACACTAAAACCAGATAAAAACAAGAGAAAGCAATCATATTATTACAATTAAGGTGCTTATAGAATTGATGATCTTCCAATCGCGTTGATGAGTCAGAAATACATAAGAACAAGTGCTTCCTGTCACAATCCTGTGCAAAGAACTTTTATGGTACCACACTGATGCCTTCCAGTGGGGTAGGCATCAGTGCTCCCTCTAAGCTGTGGAGTCCTGTGAGCAAAAATTCTACTTTGTGAGCAGCTGGCATTAAAGTTGTGAGCTGGTGATTTGGCTACTGCATAATTTAGTTTGCTCGGGAGCCATCCTCCCTGAGCTAAGACAAAAATGGGTGAGCGAGAGGCTAAAAAACTGTGAGCTAGCTCACACAAACTCACCTTAGAGGGAACACTGGTAGGCATTGTTAGCCTGTTGTAGCAAAAACAAAAGAGTGCTGGAGCACCTTAACAATGAATGCATTTATTGTAGCATAAGCCTTTGTGGAATACAATCCCTCTGCATCAAATGCGCATTGAACGAAACACTATATATGCACTGGGCATAAGGATTGGGAGGGCTCAGGTCTTAATGCTTGGCAGCTTATGTAGTTGATTTATATCCGACCTGAGAGTTTCCAGAATGGCCAAGAGCCATAAAATACCACCTTTAATACCACATTGCAAATGACATTCCTCAGCATGCTCAGCGTAGCATAATTTTCTGCCAGGGGGCATGGGATATGCAGTTTTCTCTTGTCGACTGATTGAATTGAGTGGCGGAGAAAATTACAACTCCGTGCTTGCTGGCAAGAGAAGGGCACCCATTCAAGTTCAAAAGAAGGACTTAGTAGCAGTGTTTTGTGCAACAGGTCGAGTGGCAATGGCTTCTTCTTGGAAAAACCCAAAGGCACAACGGTTGTTGCTTGGTATAATAGGGTATGGGAAATTTATATAAGGGATAAAATTTTAGATAAATTGTATACTAATAGAGTCTCTCCAGAAAACTCCCATTTTGTGGAACTGCGGTTTCCTGTAATTGATTAAACGGCTAAAAACGAAGGTATCATTCAATGCTCATATCCAAAAGAGGTGTTTCTTTTTCCTGTTCTGATAGTTCAGGTTTATTTTCAGAAGTGCTCACCTAGTCAAGTGCTGTGAGATTACCGTGTCCCTATCTTTGGTATTGCATTGTTGAATTTTAACCATATTGTTGATATTCAAGTAAAATTATTATGAAACTAAAAAAAGGTCAAACGTTCTTCCATTCATTCATGGGATTTGTGTCATAATTGCTTCTCAGCACCAGTTACTTCCTCTTGTCAGGTAAGGGGATTTGGCTTGGGAAGGAGAGACACTGGGAGGGGGATGCAGGCTGCTTCTCTAGTGTGTATGTCTATGTTATTCAGATTTTCCCATCAAGTGCTTTTAGAGAAAAAGAAGCGATTGGAGTTATACCCCGCCTTTCACTACTCGAAGGGGCTTACAACCTCGTTTCCCTTCCCCTCCCCTCAACAGACACCCTGTAGGTTGGGCTGAGAGAGTTCTTTCGAGGACTGCTCATGAGAGAACAGCTCTGAGAGAACTTGCGACTGACCCAAGGTCACACCAGCAGGTGTTCTCCCAGATCAGAGTCCGCGCTCCTAACCACTACACCAAACACACTTGACTTTGTCCAGTTTGCGGTGGGGGGGGGGGAGCCAAAGGTTTCAAAGTGAGCCAAAGGAGGGATTTCTCACCTCATTAATCAAACTACTGCATTCTTCCTGGACAGTTCCCTGCTTCCGAAGAAGTTTCTGAAATGGACACTGAACAGAGGAATGCCAGGATGGAAGCGGTTCTTGTAAAGATTCTTGAGAAGGTAAGAGCTTTTCATCAGGCAGGGTGCTATATTTTCCAAATTATATACACCGATGGCTGACTTCCTAGCAATCTGATGTGTTGACTAAGAGCCTAACTACACATTTCCCTGGGAATGGCCACTAGTCAGACAGAGAGATACATTCTCAAGTTCCACACTCCCCAGACGTGAATGAGCATGATTCAGGTTGGCACAGCAACGTACGGGGAAAGAGGGCTTAAACCTTCCCCTGCACCATTTCCCAAAATATTCTGTACTCTGCGACCTTCAAACGGGGTTGCCAACCTCCAGGTGGTGGATGGAGAGCTCCTGCTATTTCAATGGGTCTCCAGCTGATAAAGTTCAGTCTCCCTGGAGAAAAATGGCTGTTTTGGGGGCTGGACTCTATGGCATTTTGCTCTGCTGAGGTCCCTCCCCTCCCCAAACCCCGCCCTCCCCAGGCTCCACCCCCTAAAGTCTCTGGGCTTTTCCCAACCCAGAGTTGGCAACCCTACCTTTGAACAAACCAAAATTTGCTCTCCCCAGTGTAGTGCAAAGGCGCTCAAGAACCCAAGTGTTTTCTACGGGAAACCCAGCTAGGGCGAGGGAATTCCACTTTCTTCCTCAAGGTACAAACCAGCCGGACATAGTTGTGCAATCCTTGTAGATGGTGTGCCAACTGAAAGCCCAACTAGATGGCTGCCTGACCCAACTTGCTGTTGCTGGTAAGTAACCTCTTAGTAAAGGTAAAGGTTTCCCTTGCTCGAAAGCCCATCGTATCCGACTCTAGGGGGCAGTGCTCATCTCCGTTTCCAAGCTGAAGAGCCAGCGCTGTCCGAAGACTTCTCCATGGTCATGTGGCCAGCATGACTAAACGTCGAGGCGCACGGAACACTGTTACCTTCCCACTGAAGTGGTACCTATTTATCTCCTTGCAATTTACTGCTTTCGAACTGCTAGGGTGGCAGGAGCTGGGAAGTGGTTTTACTCACCTAAAGTGGTTGCCTGTACACGTGCCTTCTGGGTGGTGGCCCCCACCTGACGGAATGGCCTGCCCGATGAGGTCAGGAAGGCTCTCATTCTCCAGGCTTCCTGCAAACTATGCAAAATGGAATTGCTCAGGAGGGCATTTTTACATAGGCAATAGGGCTGTATTACAATGGAATGGTTCGGAAAGATGCTTTAATAAAGAAAGGTGCAGGGATTGTGGACTGGAATGCTGTGTATTGTGCATACCATTTGTTGCTGCAGGCATGATCCTACTATATAATTTCTGCATGGTTGAATGTGTCGTGTTAATACATATGCCTTGTTTCAACTCTGATTCAGTTTTTGGTAATCCTAATCCGATTACGTTGTTGACTAGATGTCCCATCTGGTTGACTGTGCTGGTTTACACTGTGTCATCCACCTTGAACCTCAGTCAGAAAGGTGGACTGTAAATAACATGCATTTAAAATAAAATAAAATAAGAATTGCTCTGTTGAGTTCCAGAGCTCTATGAAAGGAGGTGCTTCCATCTCCCCTCCTGCGCCGTTTTTGCCGCAGGATTGGCCCTGTTTGCCCCTTTCACTGGCTCCTAGGAAGGACACGTGGAGCCAAAGACAGGGGCAAACACCCCTGCACACCCACAGCCATTCCCGCAAGCAAAAACAGTGCGGCATGGAAGCTGGAAGCCTCCAGTGCCCAACGGAGCATTTTTTAGATGAGTAAGCCCACTTTATATGAGTCGTCATTCCATGGGACAGCCAATCAGATCGGACACCTGTGACCTCACCGCCGTCACTCCCGACGTCCAGTTTGGCTCTGAGTTGCGGACGAGAACTCCCTTGACTGTCGAATCACCTCATTCTGGGGAGGTTCTGATGTTGTTTTCTTCACCCTACTTTTAGGCCTCTGAGAAAGACATTCTTATTTTTGTCATCGATGAAGGTCAGTTCATCGATCCTGCCTCCTGGGACTTCCTGGATAACTTGCTGAGGGCCATCCCCATCTTTGTCGTCATGTCTTTGTCTCCTTCTGAATACAAAGGAATAATACTCTGCTCCGCTGCAACTCGAATCCTGGGCAATATGGCAAACACTTACGTTAGATTAAAGGAGTTAAGCCCTTCTGTGATTGTTCAGAAAGCTTGCCAGGACCTGGGTGTGGTCAGCATCACCAGGGAACTTGAGACGTAAGTAAGGAAAGTCCGAGTGTTCTGAGAAAAAGGAGGCCCTGGGTCCAGCTAGTCTCCCTGCTGTGAAGTTCACAGGCTGGTCGTGGGTCAGTCGCCCTCAGCCTAACCTACTCCCCAGGGCTGAATATGAGATAAAATGGGGAAGGGAGAACCCCCAGCTTCCTGAAGGAGGCCCAGGATAAAAATAGAAGCCATTCTTTGGTCCCTCCAGGCAACAGTTGCTCAGGTTACCAGTTCAACTCCCATTGTGTGGAGAGGTTCTGACCACTCAGACAAGAGTGTATTGTCATGCCCCGGGACCTGGATAGCCCAGGCAAGCTCGATCTTGTCAGATCTCGGAAGCTAAGCAGCGTCGACTCTGGCAAGAAGAAGAAGAAGAAGAAGAGGAAGAGGAAGAGGAAGAAGAAGAAGAAGAGGAAGAAGAAGAGGAAGAAGAAGAAGAAGAAGAGGAGGAGGAGATTGGATTTATATCCCGCCCTTCACTACCCAAAGGTGTCTCAGGGCGGCTTACAAACTCCTTTCCCTTCCCCTCCCCACAACAGGCACCCTGTAAGGTGGGTGGGGCTGAGAGAACTCTGACACAAACTGCTCTTTTTCAAGGACAGCTGTGCCAGCTGTGCCAGAGCTTGCCAAGGTCACATCAGCAGGTGCAAGTGGAGGAGTGGGGAATCAAACCCGGTTCTCCCTGATTAGAGTCTGCACACTTAACCACCACACCAAACTGGCTCTCGGATGGGAGACCTCCGTGGAATACCAGCAGTTGGGAGGCGGCCACCCCACTGAATATCCTCTAGGCCCCAGTAGGGGTCAGTCACCGGAGGTCGCCATGACTTCCAGGTGCACACACACAGATGAAAAAATACCCCCCCAAAAGAGTGCATCCTTGCTTTGAGTGCTTGAAAAATTGCATCTGAATTCTTCCTCGGAGCTCAGAATTCTGAGGTACCTGAACTCCTTTTTGAAGTAGAACCAGTGCATGAGGGATTCTCTGTCGTTCTGGAGCAGGAGGTGTTCCTGAATGGTCTATAGAGTGCTGTGCAGGGGTCGGCAGAGTTTCATCAGTCTTCCCACTCCGCCATGTTGCCCATACTCAAGGGCATGTTGCTATAGAGCTACAAGAAGGTGGCCTTGACGCGATACCGTTGTCTCCGACATATTTTTGTGTGTGGCATTTTTACTCGATAAAGTCCTCACCCTTCTTTGGTGTTGTGGTTCGAGCATCAGACTAGGATCAGTAGGATTGCCATCCCTCAATGGAGGCGGGGGGGTCCTCTGCTTTCAAGGGGCCCAATCCGCTGCTGCTGAGCTGGCCAGCGGGGGAGCCCCACTCCCAAGCAGCCCTACCTGCAGCCATGTGCCTGGCACGATGACGTCAAACGGAGGTGACGTCATCGTGCAGGGGACGTTGGGGGGGGGCTCTAGCATGGTAGAAATAAATCTATGGTTACCATGGAGTTTTTCCTGAAACGCTAGAGCGTCCCCCGGCAACATGCTCTGAGCGATGATGTCATCTCTGGGTGACATAATTGCAGCTCTCGCGCTTTGTGCATGCACTGAAAAGTCCTAGAAGGAGAGAAACTCCCCACTGGAACACGGTAAAGACCTGGCACCCCTAAGGATGAGGGAGGCCCAGGTTCAAATCCCCAGTCTACTTATGAAGCTTGCCGGGTGACCATGGGCCAGTCACTGTCTCTCAGCTTGACCTACTTCACAGGGTTGTTGTGAGAATAAAATGAAGAGGAAGAAGAAGAAGAAGACGTAGTAGTAATAGTCTCTGAGTGGCTTACAATCACCTTCCCTTCCTCTCCCCACAACAGACACAACAGATAGGTGAGGCTGAGGGAGCTCCAAAAGAACTGTGACTGATCCAAGGTCACCCAGCTGGCTGCATGTGGAGGAGTGGGGAATCAAACCCTGTTCTCCATATTAGAGCCCGCCGCTCTTAACCACTACACCAAATGGAGGAGGCAAGACCAGTGTCTGCTGCCCTGGGCTCCACAGAGGAATGGCGAGCTAAAAATGTCCTAAGTAAATAAATAGCATCAGTCCATGGCAGCCCTTCAAGTGCCTTCAGAAGCACCTGATACAACCATAACAAAAGTAAAATATGTCGAGTAGGTCATATCGTGCAGCGACCTCATCACTTATAGGTTTTCTTTCCAGCATATTCATCATCCAACATATATAATTTTTAACCTAATCACCCGGTACCATATAGAACTAACACTAAAGTATGCTTCTTTTAAAATAGTATGAATGAAAAAAAATCAGCATTTCTGTCTATAATGCCAAATATTGCTCCTATAATGGGCACCCATTTGCTCTCCCACATTGTTTTAGGGCCAAAGAAGATGTGATGTTTTCCCACGAGTCAGGCACTGGACTCTCGTACAACTAAGCTCTTGCAAGGGTCTGATTTAGACTGCAACTATGGCATAGAGGAGAGGGGCTTCCCGTGCATCATTCCCCTGATCCAAACAGCATCGGGGGCATAGTTTGCCCCATGTGGAATGCCGTGTACGCCGTATTCAGTGTATGTGCAGGCCCTTCCATGGGACAGAAAGCACCCCTGGGCCCAGCTCTTGGGGAAACGTCACGTCTAGTGTGTCCCGTAGATGTATTCCCACTTCAACCGGGTTCCATCCAAATGCGTTGTTTGAACATTCTTCTAGGTTCCTAATACAAAGAAGCCACGGAAACCCTTTTTACTGTGAAGAGCTCCTCCGAAGTCTCCACTCAAACAACATCCTCCAGTTCTACATCCTGGATGAAGAAGAGGACAGCGAGGATGAGTGGGACAGCCTTTTCAGTAAGCTGCTAGCCATTAGCCGTCCACCCAAGCTAATATTTTCTTAATGCCATGCTCCAGAACTGTGATATGCACTCCATAGCTTGTGGAGAGCCATATGTGCAAATGCTATTAACCAGAAGAGCCACATGACTACTGTTTGCCCTGGGTGCCACCCCAAATGCTCACACACAATGACATAAGTCAGGGGTCCCCAACATGGTGCCCGTGGACACCTTTCTTGGTGCCCCCCAAAGACTACCTTGGTTTCTGATTGGCCGCTGAAGATCTTATCAGCTATGCAGATTAAAACAGCACTGTTTCAGTGGCAGCCGCCACCAGACTGTTTGTTTTATTCTCTCTCACCCCTCTTTCCCAGTGTATTTTTAAATTATCCCTCTTCTACCCTGGACTTGGGCTTCCTCTCTGTGTGCGACTCTGTATCCTGCAGCAGCCATTTTGTGGCTGGCTCCGCCTCCTGTGGGAGCCATTTTGTGCTTGCACTCGCTACCCTGTGTCAGAATTCCAAAGGTGCCCCCCGGGTTTCAAAAAGACTGGGGACCCTGATCTAAGATAGAACTTGTAAACATATAGCTATTAAATACTGAGTTCAAGACGCATTGCAGTGGACAGCTCTACTTTATTAAGTGATTCAGCAGATACAAGACTAAAACCTCAGGGCAACAGCCCTGTTTAAATAGCATACATAAACCACACCCAAACACACCCAACTCCCAACGATAGGCTATTTACATGACATTAGGTTCTCATTGGTCACCTCCAGAGTCCTGGTGGGCTATTGTTCTAGAGCTTCAAGCTGAGCCAGTCTCTGGTCCCCAGTCCTGGAATATTCCAGCCCTAATACATAACAATGGCATATCTCTGAGCATGTAAGGTTATCTCTCCACTCTAGATCTGTACCTTGGCCAGCCCTTGGATATATGGAGTGAGGAAAAGGGCTTGCAACTCAGAGTAAACAGCATGCAAGCTTCCAAGGTCTCCAGAATTCTTTGTTAGGCTAGAAATGCTTTTTTAAAAAAGTGCTTCCCTGTGTTAAAAGATCCCTTTGAACTGGACTCTTAGTGTTGCAGGTGATGGGGTGGTTAGAAACCGTCTCCGTGCAAAGTTTTGTCTTATGTGCTAGCATTCAACAGAGATGTGCCCCACTCCACCACCTCATTATAAGAACATAAGAACAATGTTGGATCAGGCCAAAGGCCCATCCAGTCCAACACTCTGTCACACAGTGGCCAAAAATATTGGTGCCATCAGGAGGTCCACCACTGGGGCCAGGACATTAGAAGCCCTCCCACTGTTGGCCCCCCCAAGCACCAATGCAGCATTCAGCTGCATATGTTAACCCAGACCAGGGGTGGCCAAACATGCTTAACGTGTCAGATGTCTGAGAGTCACATGACGTGAACAAATATTACAGACATGTTTTTACTGAAAAACATGCAGATTTGCCTTTTATTAACATTAAATGAGACTGCCAAAAAAAACCCCAAAAAATAATAAAAATAGATATTGATAATGATTTTTATTTGTCCAAGGATATTGGTAGGCTGGGGGGGGGGGCCTTTTT